GGGCAGGATAGAGCCGATCGTAGAAGACACGGCAGGTGTGCGAACTGGTATCGCGAGCAGGCACCGTCCTCGCAGCTGGGGCCTCGGTCTCCTTCGCATTTCCTGTCATGCCAGCTCCCTGCTGGGAATCCTTCCGTTGAACATACTTGTGCCAGCTTGCATCGCGAACGCCGCCGCTTAGCACACTAAGCATGTTCAGTTCCAAACACTAGGCAAAGCAAGCTGGCGGAACATTGGTGTGCTCTGTGGTTGACACCATGAACGCAGTGTAGCATGGCGCGAGAGTCCAAAAGCTCCAGATCCGATACTTGTAGTGTGCCGCGGACACGAAGCGAGACTGCATGGTTGGAACGGAAGGAAGCACTCACATGTCGCAGCATCGCAGCGTACCATAATTCGGCGTCTCTTGTCCCCGGAGTCCTGAATCTAATGCGAGTGGCTGCTCACGGGAAGGCGCGTGGCCGTCCTGGAAGGCGGCTTCCGCGGCTGGGAGCGCGACCGTTTACCCGCAGGGAGCCTCAGCCATCAAGGGAAGGATGCAGTGCTGCTTCAGGTAATGTTGCGCACGCGGCATGTCGCAGCATGTCACAGCCGTCCAGGGATGAAGCGCTTGTTGGCCCGAGCTTTTCAGAGTGTTCTGGGGACATGTGCCTGCTGGGCGACTGCAGGTTGTCTGCGAGAAGCCGATGGATGCTCTTGGGCAGGTTGGGTCGGTGTTGAGACTTCACGCCAGTGCAAACACAGTTCAAGCCTTGAGGATGTTGGAGGTCGAGTGGCATATGCATTGCTGCAGTCCGACGGGCTTGGGCATGTCCGGTCTGTTTGTCGGAGCCGGATCGCCAGGCGAAGGCGGACATGTATGCGCTCTCCATGGGCCGGCGAGTGGCAGGCACGGGTCTCGGGTCTCGGGCGTCTCGGTGCAATTGAACGACACTTCACTGCCATGCTTCGACGTGTTTCGTGCCCAGACGGAAGGTGCTGGCGCGTGAGGCCGCAGCAAGCCGCAGCAGTCCTGGATTCTGATTCTAAAACCGCCTTTGCCGAGCTCGGATGAGCCTGCAAGTAGGAATTGCACCAATCGTCCCATCTAGGCTACGGCATGATGGGGTTTTTCAAAGAGATACTTACAGCCTCAGCGGCTACTGGTAGCGACCTTTCTGACTGAACCTGAGAAGTTTCTCGTGTGGCACTGGCGAATGGTGCGCAATCGGCTGCTTGGCATGCTTGCCAATGGCCCAAAAACAGGGCCTATGAGCTAGCGGACTGGCTTGCCATGACTCAAAAAACGGCACAGGCGCAAGTATGCGCAAGTCCAACCTGAAATGAAGGAGGGCGAGCTTGGTTACGGCAACATGGAGCATTGTGCAGGTGCACGCGCGCAGGCCCTAGCAGCATTTAATGCAAGTCGTATTCAGCAGCAGCCAATGTGCGCCTCCGGCGATGGCTTCTTATGCGAGGAGCCGAGAGGGTGCACGAAGTGTTGATGCCTGCACAGCTGCAGTTGGCTCATGCGTCAGCTCAGGTCTCATACTTCTGCGAGCCCACGGCTCCAGCGGCTGTGCCTTAGTGCAAGTTCCCACGGTGAAGAGGTCTCTTCAGCTGTCTTTAGGGTGAAGTTCAGCATGCTTACGGTGTCATGCTGCACAAAATTCCTGCACGTCGTCTGGTGCCAGGCCGCAGAAGCCGCACAAGGTCCGGAGTGCCTCCAAGTGCTCTCTTTGGTGTTGCCGACCCCTCCATCCCCTCCTCCGCCTCCTTTACCTGGCCAAAAGTTGCGTCTCAGGAGCAGAGGGAGGAGCCGAATTAGCCGAACGCCTGGAGGATCGCGCGACTCATGCTTCTTCCTGTAGGAACGTCCCAAGGCCATCAAGCCCGGAGTTCCCCACACCTGACTCACCACAGCACTTGTCTGCCGAAAGCGCACGGTGACGATTGGGGGCTCTTGGGGGGTTCGACCAGGCGATTGCAAACGGCGCCGAGGTGTTTGCAGCCCGTGGCTTGGTTGGCTGGTGGAGAGAGAACGTCTACGAAGCTGCACCGTCTCGGAATCGCGTGGTGCAACGGTGCATGACAGGGCTCGCATTCTAGACTGTCTCTGTTGTCACAGATATAAGGCCAAAGAGCTCGAAACTGCGCTGCAGGCATCAGGCTCGGGAGTTGTCTTGAAAGCAAGTGGCCGCAAAACGCTCACTTCACTACTAGTTACTAGTAGCAGGTCGGTTGGCTACTTGCAGATGTCGGTGTACGAGGTTTGTCTTTGCGTGTCCAGCGCCAAGTAACTCGTGGAACCTCATCTTCACGGTAAGTTGCCATCTACTCCTCTCTCGGCGCAGCGGATGGCTGCAGTCCCGGATATGTCTCAACACCCGCGGCCTGCCGCTTAGTAGCGCAGCCTGCCAGGCGCTACTTCGCGACGGCTTCGAGCAGTGTGTGGATGATGCGGAGAAGAGATGTTTCGAACAGCAGGACAAGCTGCAGGCGCCATCTGCACAGCCCTACAAGATTACAAGGCAGCGGACTCTGAAGCGAGATCAGCAGAAACTGTGGCAGGCTCTCCTTCTGGGAAGCCTTGCCAACGTGCCGGGTCACCTTGACCTTTGCCGGACCTCTCCGAAGTTGGCAGCACGAGTGCTTCGCTTTCTCAAGGCTGCGTGGCTTCGCGCTGAGCCTCCGAGGCCAGATTCGAGACTCGATGCTTGTGCTTGTGGCCCAGTCATAGCCGTAGCCCCGCCAGGCCTGAACCCGCTATGTGGAGGCGAGAAAAGTTGAGTGGAGGGGCACCGCACCGTAGGAGCGCCGCTTTCCACCCGGCGGCGGCTGCCTGGTGCAGGGTCTTGGATGCTCTGGAGCAGGCTAGAGGAACAGATCCGCAGCTTGTCCCGGTGCTCCGGTCCGGTGATCATCTCATGCTGGCCTTTCACCCATGCTTGGAGGGATGCGAGCGCCAGTCATTGCAATATTGGAAGATGTAGGACCTGAGACTGCGTCCAACGTGCTGCAGACTACCATAAAGTAGACTAAGGCTAAGGCCGAGGGCTAGTTTGTCACAGACTGCGTTATGTGCTTGAATGCGTACCCTGGCCTGGCTTTCCGCTGTTACCGTCATGGTTGCTTGCAATGAGGCAATCAGCCTGTTTAATTCAGTAGCTTCACCCGGCCGTCTCAGCACAACTGTGCTTCTTTAGTTTCCGCCATGACGAACAACGAAGAAGACATCGACCAGATCAACCAGATTGCGGATTGTGTAGGGGAGTCCCTTGGCTTTCTCATTGGGGCCGTGCCGGTGGTTGGTGGTGTTGCGGGCCCTTTGGCCAGATTGGGGGGCAAAAAGGCTACCAAACTGGCTTACGACTACTACTTCGCGGACACTGGCGGCGAAGAAGATCGTGGCTATGCGAGCCCGGGCAAAAGGGGCCCAGCAGCAACTTCCGGTGGCTATAGCCCCAGCAAAAGCCCCACCAGAAGCCAGAAAATGTTTCCTTCAGGGTGGCAAGTTTATGTTTGTGATGGACATCACTCACATCCTCGTCTCTACGAGGGTGTGGTGGAAGAGCCGCTGCCCCGTGAAAACAAGTATCGTGTGTGGGTCACCAACCATCGGAAAGAGGGAGTTGATGAGGAATGGACGGTCGTCCGAGACAACGTGGTGCACCGCAAGATGTACCAGGTGAATGAAGAGGTTTGGTGGATGCACCGTGGACACCGTTACAATGGTTGGGTCGAGCGTGTGGACAAGAGGCCGCATCTCCGCTACTGCGCGAAGTACAGGACCAAGGGTGGCCAATGGGACTATGTGGACCTTGAGCCAGATGACCTGCGGCTTCGGCGTGTGAGCGGCAAGTACCGCTGAGCCGAAAGGTGGTGAGGCCTGCTCCGGAATCGCGATAGGTGGACATGTAGCGCACGCATGCTTTGCCTTTCTTCGCACAAGCTACGCTCCATACCCGCCAATTTCGCAGACTCCGAACGCGAGAATCCTTAAAAGTTTTAAAAGGATTCCTTATAGCTTCCCTGATTGTATTCCTCACCATAGCTTGCTGAGCATGGCTTGCGTCTTGGGCTTCCAAGAGATGTTAACATGTAAAATGTGTTTGTTTCAACGCTGATCCCACGCAGGTAGTACTTAAGATTGAAGGCCTGATGTGCTTCTCTAGGAGTCCTGACTTGCCTCAAATTTCTCAGCTGGTGAGCATGACCCTCATTCCAGCCCATAGGATGTCACGAGCATCAGGCCTGTTACTGCACATCTTGCGCTGCCTTGTGAAAATGCTCGAGAGACGGCGGCTCGATCAATGCCGGGCACGAGGTTTGAATGGTGGTTCTCAAGGGTAAAACTCTGGGACCGTTTCGTCCGGCAAGGTGATGCTCTTCACTCTCGTAGCCGAGCTGGTACGTTTCCTTTTCAGGCTTGTCTTCTCATCCCGCTTCTGCTCGAAAAGCTCCTCCCCTTCGTTTTCCTGAACCAGGAATCGTCATCACGACACCAAGCTCGTACCGCGCTTTGCTATTTCTACATGCTTCGATCTCCGATCTGTCGAGTCTATCGGGTGTGTGCCCTTGAGAACTTTCTGAATACACAGCATCGATAACCCCGTAATCTTAACCCCTAAGCCGTAAACCCTGAACTCCGAACCCGTTTCCGCAGGTGATTCCGGGCTCGGAGCTCACTGCAATTGTCGCCAACGACATGTTGAGCCAGACCCTTACAGAGACATACAGAGACAGGACAGCTTCACCGCCTTGTGAAGCTCCCTCCATGAAGGCAACAAGCTGTTGGCTTTCCACTTGGACTATCACAAGGCCGCTCAAAAGGACCGCGGTTTGGTCTCATTGCAACCTCTGTGTGCAGATCAGTGGTCAGGTCTCACCGCTGAGATGTGCGGCTCGCCGCCTCAGGAGCTTCGCCGGGCGCTTCTGCGAAGCCACCAGGTGCCGGGCTGTGCCGAAGGTTGAGTCTTGGCAGAGTGCCTCTGTGAGACATTTAATGTGAGGCCTATGGCGGAGGGGTGGAGACCTGGAGATTCTTCACCTCGAAACTCTTTGCAGACTCGGCATCTCCCTGAGCTTCGAATCCCTTTCTTAAGATCCTGTTTATGCAGGGGATTGGTGACTCGTGTGATGAAGACGTCCGTGTGCAAAAGTGCCCTTTCCGATTTTCTGTGCACCAGGTCTTAGATGGTGGCACGGCAACGCGTGAGACTTGGCTTCGGCGCTTGTCGGGCCGCTTGGTGGCCTTTGGAGCTTAGGTGGACAGCCATGCAGAAGCAATCGCAGCTTGCGCGTGGCTGCCGTGAGCAAGGCTACAGCTCAAAGGCAGGGTGGACTTCGGCGGCTGGGTGGTCGACTGCAAAGCTAAGTTGTGCGCACCCTGCACCATTGGACTGCCGCCCGCAAAGGAGAAGCCAGTTTTCGAGGAGTTGCTGCGCAAGCAAGCTGCACGAAGGCGGGCCATGGCGCCTAAGTCTACTTCAAACCATGAGGGCGACGCGCCTTTGCTTTCGTGCCAGGACGCAGGAGAAGGTTGGAAGCCGCCAGGCAGAACACGAAGAACGCTGTAGTGCCAGGTGCCAAAGCTGCACCGACACTGAGCAGGAGAGGTGCCCTCTATCGGTGTACAGTGCTCTCTCACAGTGAGTCAGTTTCCTCGGCAGTCTTCTTTCTGAGGAGCCATCAGAAGCCGGAAAAGAGGAGCTTTCGAGCAAAAGCACTCAAGGTGGGACCGCAGAAGCCGTCGTAGCCGCGTGACGCAGAGTGTGAAAGGCAAGGACCGCAAGAAGAGGGCGATGCTGCGAGCTGCTCCGTGACATCTGAGACAGATTCGGCCCGGGGCCCAGCTCACCATGGCCCTACAGCTCCTGAAGTGAACGAGGCAGGGCTCGAGATCATTAAGGTGGTGGTCCACCTTCCGGGGCTCAGCTCAGCCACAGAAGCTTCCCTGGAGGTGCGACGAGTTCGAGCGAAGGGGCGCAGGGGCAAGACTAGATTTCAGATGAGAGTCGCATTCAGGTCTCGCCGACTGAACTCAAGGTCGCCAGCTTGAGGCAGAACAAGAAGTGGTGTTGCAGTCGTTGTAGTATTTCGTAGTCAGTCGTGATCATCCAGAGCCCAGAAGCACCATCCTTTTTGTGCACAGACCTTTCAGGCCTGACCTGCCTCACGGTGCTCCCCACAGAAGTGGAGACCTCGAGCAGCACGGCCAAATGGTCGCGACGGTCGCAGCAGCTCACGGTCCAGCGCAGGGCACTGCGGGACACTGCGGGCCCTTGAGAGCTCAGAAGAAGCCAAGCCGATTTCTCCAATGCTTAAGTAGCTAAGACTCAGCTCAGCATTGAGCATTGTACACAATTCCTAAACCGCCTTTGCCGAAGCGGGCCAGCAGAGATTCGGCTCGCTCGGCCCTACTGGTCGAAGGAGATCCGCCAAGATTCTTCGAAAGATGAGCCTCGGAACTGCACCAATCGTCCCATCCAGGCTGCGGCATGATTGGGTTTTGACAGAGATGCTTACAGCCTCAGCGGCTACTGGTAGCGACCTTTCTGACTGAACCTGAGAATTTTTTCGTGTGGCACTGGCGAATGGTGCGCAATCGGCTACTTGGCATGCCAGCCAATGACCCAAAAGCAGGGCCTATGAGCTAGCGGACTGGCTTGCCATGACTTAAAAACTTTTTAAGTCATGCCAAGCCAGTCCGCTAGCTCATAGGCCCTGACCGTGGGCGGGAGCGAAGGTGCTTCGCAGCTGGTCCTCTGGACCGAATTTGGGAAAGGAGTTGTACAGTTCGGGCGTCGACCTCTTTAAGGGGCGCACGTCTTCCAAACCAACACATTGTGCAGGTGCACGCACGCAGGCCCTAGCAGCATTTAATGCAAGTCGTATTCGGCAGCAGCCAATGTGCGCCTCCGGCGATGGCTTCTCATGCGAAGAGCCGAGAGGGTGCACGAAGTGTTGATGCCTGCACTGCTGCAGTTGGCTCATGCGTCAGCTCAGGTCTCATACTTCTGCGAGCCCACGGCTCCAGCGGCTGTGCCTTGGTGCAAGCTCCCACGGTGAAGAGGTCTCTTCTCCTTGCTGTGTGAGGCGCCTCCTGTAGGGACCATGTCGGCGAGGCAGTGCCTGCCTTGGATCAGGGCAGCATTGTCGTGGAGCTGACTGCCTGCTTTGGGAGATGTTGCAGTTTCTGTTGAGACGGGTTGAGCGGGGATCTGCATCATGTCGCGGTTGGTAGTGCACGCTTGGCATTGCCAATCGAATAGCCCCATCTAGGCTGCGGTATGGTTGGGTTCTGGAAAGCGAAAGCCAGAGCCGGGCAGTACTAGGAACGTAAAAGGTGACAAATGCGCAGTGTGTGTGTGTGTGTGTTTGCAAGCGGATCGCAGCAGGGCGACAGACAGGAGTGTTGGGCCGTGTGCGTTGATTCTGTCACATCGCGCGGGATCTTGACTACAGGTGCACAAGCTTCTGGAGGCAGGGCTGCCTGCCTCTCAGAACTGGGCCACAAGCCCGTGGCGAAGTTAGCAAAAGCTCGCGGACGTGAAAACTACTCAAACAAATCACTGAGGTGTTTGCTGGTTGATGTGCGTGGGATGATGATCGCGCCTCTGGCCACATCCAGGCCTTGTCAGCAAGATTCGCGGATTGTTGTTTTGGACTGACTGAGTGTCTGGAGGGAGTCCGTGTGTCCCATCTCTCGACGGCTCCAGGGCGCGGTGCACGAGCCCACCAGTTTCCAAGCACCCCTTTTGAACCGGGCGGGGCCGCCAAGAGAGGGAGTGGGTGCTCTGGAAACATGGGATGTAGCAGTCGTGTCTGAGCTTGTTGAATCTGCTGAGGTGCCGGAGCTGGTGGGGAAATTCTCGAAGGAGAAGCTCGTCGCCGGCAGCTCAGGGTCCGTGCCGGTCGCATGTTGCACTGCGGAGCTTTGGCGATTCGTCTGTCAGAGGCCGCCCGTTTGGAGTCTATGTGCACTGACCCGTCTGCTGACATCTTCCATTGCCAGTACTCCATTGAATATTGGCAATGGAAGATCTCAGCAGACGGTCCATGCACCGCGGCCCTCAGCGGGATGCCAAGTCTGCTGTTATGGGCTGGATTGAAGCCTTCGGATTTTGCGGGACTGGTGTTGCAGCTTTCGACGGAAGGGTTTGTCACGTGTCTGGGCATGTGCGGTCTCTGTCAGCAGACTGTTCACACTTGAGAGCTATTGGAGGGCAGGATAGAGCCGATCGTAGAAGACACGGCAGGTGTGCGAACTGGTATCGCGAGCAGGCACCGTCCTCGCAGCTGGGGCCTCGGTCTCCTTCGCATTTCCTGTCATGCCAGCTCCCTGCTGGGAATCCTTCTGTTGAACATACTTGTGCCAGCTTGCATCGCGAACGCCGCCGCTTAGCACACTAAGCATGTTCAGTTCCAAACACTAGGCAAGGCAAGCTGGCGGAACATTGGTATGTTCTCTGGTTGACACCATGAACGCAGTGTAGCATGGCGCAAGAGTCCCAAAGCTCCAGATCCGATACTTGTAGTGTGCTGCGGACACGAAGGGAGACTGCATGGTTGGAACGGAAGGAAGCAGTCACCTGTCGCAGCATCGCAGCGTACCATAATTAACCTCCGTGTGCCGACCCTCGGCGTCTCTTGTCCCCGGAGTCCTCAATCTAATGCGAGTGGCTGTTCACGGGAAGGCGCGTGGCGGTCCTGGAAGGCGGCTTCCGCGGCTG